GTTGCAGCAGGAGCAACAGAGGAGATGAGAAGCAATGATGGGGGTGAAAGAGATGAGAGCTAGTGATGGGGAAACAGATGGGAGACTGCCTTTGCCATCTGTGGATTCCGATGGTTTGGGGCATAAGGTTTGGCGTCAAGAATAAAAGCTTGGAGCTCAGAGAGACAGACCTGAGTTTGAATCTGAAAATTTCCATTCACCGGCTCTGAGACCTTGTGCAAAGTTGTTTAACCTCTCTAGGTCACTATTTCCTTAGCTATAAACTTAGAGTAATATCAACCCATTAAGGTTGTTGTGAGGATTAAAATGGGATAATTAACATATTAATTAACTTCAACAGTGTTTGGTATAGAGTTAGTATTAAATAAATGGTGGTTTATAGTATAAAATAATATTGTTTAATGTTTATATTATTAAATATTATGTAAACAATGTTGTATACATAATATTATGTATGAAAGAAGGGACACACACACCTGGGAATTCCAAGCCTTAAATCTGCACAAGGGGTATTTTTCTCCTACTTTCTTTAAAAAAATTTTCTCCACCCTTTAAAATAAATATTTCTATCAAAACTGGCAAAAATAATTTTTAGTAAGTATTTTCAGGTTTGCTTTGACAGGGCTCTCCTACTCTTAAACTGCAGTGCTGAGCACTTAGCTCCTTAGTGATGGTTTTCAGTCTGGGGACACTAAGCATGTAGGACAGTAATTCTTAAACTTAGTGCACATCAAACTCAGACACTTATTTTCAAATTCACATTCTTGGATTCCTCAACCAGGAGATTTCCGTTTACAGAAAGTTGGTAAGATTAGTAAAAATAACTAGTGTGTACCTTTTACCCAGATTGACCAATGTTAAACATTTTGCCAAACTGTATCATTCTTTCTATACAGAGATGGATGTGTCTGGTTTTCGAATCCATTTGAGACGAGGTTATGTACAATCTGCCTTAATGCTTCAGTGTGTTTCCATGAACAAGAATATACTCTGACAAAGCCTCTATGCAGTTATCAAATTCAGAAAAGTTCACACTGAAACGGTGTTTTAATCCAGTCCTCAGCCTGTATGTCTAACTTTTCAGTTATCCCAATAATGCTCTTTATAGCTCTTTTTTCCCCCTAGTATAAGGGCCAGTCCATATACTGCATTTAGATGTCGTGGCTTTTAGTCTCCTTCATTCTGGAATGGCTCCTTTCTTTAGCTTCACAGAATTGGCAATTTTGAAAGAAACAATTCATCTACAGACTCCCTTTGGCTTTCTCTGTTACTCCTCATGATTAGATTCCAGTTACACATTTTTGGCTGGAGTCCTGTGTCGCTGATGTTGTGTCCTCCTCAGGGCATCACATCCAGAGGCACATGATGTCCATTTGTTTCTTACTGGTGAATGTTACGTTTGAACATTTGGTTAAGTAATACCTAATTTCTTAATTTCTTTTTGTAATTAATGAGTAATATGTGGGGAGATACCTTGAGACTCTATAAATCTTCTATTCTTTATCAAACTCCAGATTCAGCACCCACTGATAATTCTTGCCTGAATTGTTTTTTCTGTGATGATTGTAAAAGGATGATTTTTCTAACTCTGTTATCCCTTCTGTCTTTATGAGTCAACATTTTCCTGTAAGGAAGAACTCTCCTTTCTTCTTTATATATGTATTTATTATCAGTGTAGATACACACATGGATTCTTTTTGTATGTGATGGATTGTATCCATTACTGTCCTTATTTACAACAAACTTTATTGAAAATACAAAACTTTGTGTTTTTTTAATTCAAAACTCTTTGCATATTCAGTGATTTCATTATGTAGCTCATTTTTTATGACTGAATAATTGGCATGAATGACAAATAACTAAAGGAGATGAAAAATTGTGTCTCTTCGGCAGGCAGAGCGTCAAGATAATTGAAGTATCATTAAGTTTTACTAAAGTGCTCATTATTTTCACTCTATGAGAATATTGTTTCGTCAAAACAAACTAGCTAACATTTTATCATTAACTGTGGAGTGAACTTTGTATGCAGTATCTCATTTAATACAACAGCTCTTTGAGCTGTATGTATTATTACATAATATGCAAATTGTCACCCTAGCTGTGAAGAAGTCAAAGCTCAGAATAGTCAGTAAATCCCCCAGGTGCTGTAAGTGGTGACCAGCGGAGTCAGGAGTTGAACTTCAGTGTGTTCAACTTCAGAGTCCACAGCACTGTGCTTCCTCCATGACTTGCTTCACAACTTCTGCAGTGGGTCTCGTGTCCTTTGAAGAGTTTTATCACTTTTCTGGCCGTTCTGCCCACATCCCACACCACGGCTGCCTTAAGGAAGATTGGGAGTGGGATGGGACACTGCAGACACCCTTTCCTTTTTCTAAGGGCTAAACTTATGATATTCATCCTTCTCAAGTGGTTTATCCTAATCTGTTTTTGCCCCGAGTCAAGAACTGTTTTAAAGAGAAACGTCCCACAAGGGCAATTTGCAGTGTCATTTAGCAGTAGAAGAATAGAAAATGTGGTTTTCTTTGTTCAAATTATGTGCATATGAGCCTCAAACCCGCACCCTCCCCATCCTTTTTTTTTTTTTTTTTTTTAATCCCAAGAACCAGCTGCCGGCTTTACTTCTTTCTACCTGCTGGATGCTATCTGAATCACATTAGCCAGTGCTCCACTTAAGCGGTCCCTGTTAAAGTCCAGAGCCCAGGGAAATCACCCTGACTCTGTTCCCTAGCAACATCCCTGAGAGGAGCAGCAGCTGCCTGACCATATGCCACTAAAAAGATGTTGCAAGGAAAGTGCATATACACTGATGTTAAATGCCTTGAATCTTGAGACTTCAGCCATCATAGTTTCCATGTTTCAGTATTTACCTTTAGTGGTGCAAATCCCAAAGGAAAGTATAATTATCTAAAATGACAGCAAGTACTGGATGAGCTTAGCAGTCAATTCAATTTCTAGATATTTTCTTGCTAAGATAAACAAAGAAATAGCCATGATAAAAACACCTTTCTTTGTGAGTCTTAAATGTTAAAGATTTGTGTCAAAATTAATCGTATTTACGTTGTCATGTGATGTGGCATATTTAAACATTAAGCAAACATAAAACACCTTGCCAATTTTTGTTGGTGTTCTGTATTTTTTTCTGTGTTCATTTTTACTCTGTATTTTTGCCTTTTCCAGGATGACATATAATTGGAATCACACTTCATATAGCCCTTTCTGATCAGCTTCTTTCACTTAGTAGCATGCATTTAAATTTCCTCCATGTCTTTTCATGGTTTGATAGCTTGTTCCTTTTTAGCATTAAATACTCCATTGTCTAGACGTACCACAGTAAATTTATACCTTCTCCTACTGAAGGACAACTTGGTTGCTTTCAAGTTTTGGTAATTATGACTAAAGCTGCAGGTTCACAGGCAGGTTTTTGTGTGGACATAAGTTTTCAACTTATTTGGGTAGGTACCAAGGAGCATGAGGGCTGGATCATACAGTAAAAACATGTTTATTTTTCTAAGAAACTGTCAAACTGTCTTCCAGAGTAACTGTACCATTTTGAATTCTTACATCCTTGTCAGCATTTGGTGGTGTCAGTTTGGGATTTCAGTCATTCTAATAGAAAATAAGAATTTCATTATGAAAATTTAACCACTACTTCACGAACTGCTACAGGTATGCTGAGATGTGTCATAGGTGGGAATCTTTTGTGGTTTCTTAGCAAAAACAGATTTTCCCACATTTAAAAATTATTAATATATTTCTTCTCTTTATAGCTTAAGCTGTTGGATTTCCAAGCAGCTCACAGTAAGGAGGAAGCATGAAAAATTATCCTGGACTGTTTTTTCTGTTTTGATCAACAAGTAGCTGTTACAGTGGCCATTATCCAAGTAATAGCCAATAATTCAGTAAATACATGTGCCTTTTAAAATATGAAAACATAATCTTTGACATTCTTTAAAATTCTAATCAATTTTGAATCATTCCTAGCTATCTGCAGAATTTCTGGCACCAGTGCATCTGGGGAGGAATTGCTTTTTTATTTTTTTAATGGTTACTCCCTTTTGTAAACAGCTGGATACGACAAAACCATTGTAAGTTTAGGTCATCCTTTGAATTTTATTTTAATGATTTTATATGAAAATCAGTTTTTTCCTCCAAATTTTAAAACCACATGCGTATTAGTAGTCAATTTAGGTTTTTAAAACAAGACTATTTGTTTGGAAAAGAGATCATGAAAATGATTATTTGTATTAGTTAAAAGTTCTTCCTGATTTCATCTTTTTTAATGAATTTATCTGCCCAGGAAAAGTTACTTGTTTTCAAAGCCAAGATCAAATAGGAAGTCTTGGCCAGTGGTTTTCTAAATATTTGTACACGAGAAAGTCCAACATTGTAGCAGATAAATGTGGAGCTGCTCAGGTTGGAGGTCAAGTGGAGGTGGAAGAGACTGGAACACAGCCTCTCCTCCAGCCTTTCCCCGGGTACCTCCTGAATCTGTAGGGCTCTGTGGAGAAGAACTGGAAAATTCATCTAAATAATGATTTTTATTTAAAGCAGCAGCAAAATCGAGTAGTCACTACTGAGCTCTGTATCATGGAGTTCTAGGTGTCTAATTTATAAGGTTTCTGAATTAGACTTCAGGGCCTACGTTACATTTTATTACAGCCTGCAACTTAAGAGCAGACTGGCAAGAATTAAATGAAAAGCCTGTTTCACAGCTGCCACACATCTGGGAATTTGGTTAAAAGGGGCTAGCTTAGCTCAGCCTGAGTTGTGATAAAAAGCAGGGTGTAGAGGTCTTTTAAGTGAAGTCCTGTGCTCTGATCAGAGTTGTATTTAATACTGGCCCATAAGTCCACATAATTATAATTTGTAAGAGTCTTTAGGATGTCAGTAACTTTTAAA